TCTACCATTAGCCATTGCTAAGTTTATCTTTGACAAGATAACCAAAGTAACATTGGACATTGAGTCACCTACATTTGTGTAAATTAGAACTTGATATGAATATTGTGGCGGGCTGGGTGAAATTTTTGGATTACTGACCCAACACCCCCACATATACCCTATCCACAACTACAGCGTTGCGGCACGAAGTCTTTAGAATCATGAGCTATTGACCTGTCAATTAGTTCGTAACTATCAAACGATGGGATCTAGCAGACTTTTAACATTTTTTCAACTGTGTGATATAAAATTAATTGAAGAATTTACGATGCCATCCCACCACCGTACACCCTACCCACCCTCCCCATGTGATACAGTCAATTATCTCAACAATATAAACAATCATCATAAAGTTACTAATATACAACACGTAGGAGGTGTCATTCATCATTTTGGAATGAAAAATAACTAACTGAACAGCGATAAGGAAAGTAATCGTAAGCGACAAAAACTTTTCGGTACGTGTCACGCGTCCGTTACTGTGAAGAGCTCATAGGGAGATAAGGTATGTGACTGTTTAAGAAAAATACAATTTTTCTAATCCACGAACCGCGGTATCTACATTGTCTCCAACCCCACAAATAATCATCCCGCTCCAATCCAAAACAAGTAACTCCCCTTCACCACACACCCCGCACCACCACACTAACACACCCCACCCATACACCACCACAAAGCCTTAAATATTAACGTCGAATAGAACACACCCAAGTCATCCACGCTGCCACACGACCCTAAACACCAAACCCACAAATAATCCAAAGCCTGCGAAGAAGATTTAAAAAGTTAAATCATTCATCTATGCGCACTATCCCGACTCAACATGACGTAACAGTCTAGAAACCAACATTTAACTTTCTGAAGGGACTGTTATAAATTTTAAAATGTGGCGAGATGATTAGGCGGCCCGTTTATTATGTTGCTGTCAAAAAATGTTACTATGACTAAATTATCCAGTATTCGCGCCAAATAACAGATACGTTTACCGAGCATTGAATTGTTTAAAGTTAATAAGTTGGCAAGAAAACGATCAACATCCGCTAGTATATTACAGAGCTATTCCGGTTCTCCTATTCTATAATTCAAATTTTAGACATACAAGCCCACAGATCACCCTCGCCAATTCCCCACTGTCTATTTTAGTGCAGCTCCTGTTTTTCACCCCATGTTACGAATTATTTCTGCCTGCACCACTACGGTCCACTTTCGCAATGCTCGTCTATTTTAACATTCTTCAAAGTACAGCGCACCACTTCACATGGTCGTCTACTGTATCGAAACGTAACACGACCCCAATGGAACCCACGCATCCCGTTCAAACTCCTTTCGCGACCATAAACTCTCTCGGCAGGGGAGCAACCCCCTCCACTTTATCCTCGCCTACTCACACACCTCCCTCATAACCCCCCACACATAAGACCTCGGCCACAGTAACGCCAACAATAACAAAACGACATAAAACTCCCACTCAGACTGTAACCGTTCCAGCCAATTTTTATATCCAAACCACTACACCCCTCTCAATACCTAATCAACGACACTTTTCTCTCCATCTCTTGTTGCCCGTCACGCCCTACTACCACCTCCTCACTATACCAAATAAAAAAAAACCATCCACCATCCATTTTCACCAAAACCAAACCACAACTTATCCGCCACCATGCAACAACTCACCATGCAAGACCGAATCCCCAGATCCGCTAACAGATGGTCTTGATTCTGTTGCGGAAGGTTTACACTACTTTCCTCTTCTTGGGTAAACACGGCACCTATCGCGCATATATACCATAAGAAGTGTGCCACTAGATTTTCACCTGCGATTTAACCTCAGCCGTTTGTACCCAGCCACACACTCGCTATTCAAAAAACTACATCACAAAATCACCCCCCACAGCTTCCCAACCCAAGTTCACCGCTCCCTTGCTTGAAATGTCGGTCCGTCCGAACCTTGTTAAAATCATATTACTTCCGACATCTTACTAACATACTAAAGGTAATCTGCCACGATTGAACCGCGCACAACCGTGTGTACGTTTAGAAGAGTGTGGATGGACAATGATCGCACATATTTTACATCTGAAGCAGTCCGTCTCCAAGATTAGTGAATGATTGGGGTTCATAAAAATTACACGGTGAAAGACTTATACACGGGTTAGCCCATATCCCATACTTTCGTCTCATACCAACGCCGGTTGACTTTTGTTTTGCCCCCCTCTAAAATCGTATCAAGGAAAGATCGTTGTCCCTTCGTACCCTGATCAAATCTACAATGAATCAGCAGCGAAGTATGTCATGTCATCACTCATTTAGTCGACCCGCCGGCGGAAATCCGGATCCTGGCTTGCCCCAAAGCTATATCGCTAGCATCCGAATAACTCATAATCACGATCTAGCTCTGAACGCTGTGCCAAGTCATAATTTTAGGCTGATGCTGTAAAATCTAAGCGGTCCTTGAGTAAGTGTAACGCCAGACTGGACCAATGGCATAACGTAGCCTTTTCGGCTCCCGTATTTTATTATCTCTAGGCATTTATGATTGAAATTACTAACAATCTATCTTTATGATCACATTACATCCCATTATTTTACTAACATTATCTTTAAAATAAACACACAATAAGTTTTAAAGAACTATCAACATGTAACCAAAAAAACGATCGAAAATTAACCCTAATTTCACAGGATCCTCAATATAGATTTACAGCCTGGTCAGACCTACAATCAACTTTACTAAGTCAAATACCTAGTATACAACGAATCAATCCGATGTCAAAAAAACCCATTTCACTATCAGTAACACATAAACTCTGCATCTAGTTTCCTACACTAACTAACTACTTTGATCCACGTAACATTCAATTAATCTCATCCTCTCAATAAATCCTCTTAAAGAAAAAACGCCCCCTATCCTTATAAAGCCGCACCATACTTTTGATCTCAATCATCCTATTAACGTCACATGCAAACCTAAAACGCATAATCACCCACCATTACGCACTCGGCATGGCGCCGTGCAACGTCCCAATCTCATTCCCCATGCTCTATCATTTCGTTGCCTTTCCACCATCTTCAGCTAGTGCATTCCCCATACTCATCGCCACACACGCATACTAAACAAAAAACTCTTACCTACCTCCCCTCACATCCACCCCCCAAACCTACAAATACACCATACAACCATTACCTCAATCCACCCTAACCCCACCCTTATCACATACAAGCACAGTTCAAAACCCCCCTACCCATCCCACTAACAGCACAACTACACAGTTCCAACCTACACCCCCCACACCCCCCTGAACCCCAATTATTTATCCATCCACTCCATTAAATTTATTACCTACCATCCAATCTCCCAACGTGCAGTCTCTTGGAAAAATTCTCTTCTGACCATGACCATAAATAACCAAACCAAGAAATACCTGTAACTAATATTTAACATCCTATTTTGAACAAAAATGCATCGTAACAGGACAATTATTAACATTAATCCTCCAAAAGTTTAGAAGTATTATCTACACTGTCCTCTAAATCCCTACGACACTTGTACCAGCATAACCCACACAACCACACTATTCGCTCATAACAATCCGCCCGACAACAGTAACTCTTCGGTCATCATGAAATATTATGTATATAATTTTATTATAAAAAAAGATTTTAATAAACAACATCAACAGAACAACAGACGTACACGAGACAATTGCCACATATTACAAATTCCAATCCCCCTGACAATACCAACCCTAGCCCCGATATCCCCCACCCATCTATCTCCATTCCAGTCCTCTCCCGCGTATTCTCCCCCCCCGCCATCCCCCCTCCCCACCCACACGCCTACCCAAACAATCCAGTACTGCACTCAGCTTTCTCAATACATGCATTCTTCACTATTTCCACCACCGATGTCTCCATTTCCCCCACTCACCACCTTTGGTGCCCTCAGTCACACCCCGTCTGCCCCC